CAGGAACCGAGGGCGGACATCTACAAAAATGGAATGAGGTTGAAAAGGACATTTTTTGGGGGGAGTGGGAGCTAATATGTTAAACATTTTATCGCAGATGTTCGCCCCGCAGCAATGCTGCTCTGCTATGCCGTCAAACTGCCACTTAACGAGACTTACTAACTTCACGGACCGTTGTAATACCTGCGAGTAACTCAAACGACAAGTGAACGGTTCGCACTTTATTTCCACTCATCGTCGCCGTTCCCGGATGTTAAATTAATGAAGGCAATTCCCCACCCCCCTTGCGTCCATTCCCCACCCCTTTGTGAACTACCTGCAACATTTAGAGACTTGTCTTACTGCACTGTTTTATAAAAGTAGGTGTCAAGCACTCGAGAAAAGCGAACTGTGATATTTATCATTCAATTAAGTCAAATATAATAATATATTGATCAGTCAACACACACACACACACCATACACAAAATAAGTATCGCATGAGAAAGACGTCATTGGTATGTATAGATGGAAACTAATATGGCATTATTGATTGGCCTTTTTTATATTTAAACGAACCACTTTTGAAATTTGTAGTTTTTAATTGTTTCTGGTAACACATAATAGTTTAATAGGTACTATACTTCATAATCATTCTATCTAACACATATCAATAGCATACGATAATAAATTATAGTGTAATAATGATAGGGATTGACTTTGTGTTCTTGTCTACTCGTTTTAGCACCATACGATTTACACCATCAATTTGTTTGTTTTTACAATGGCTCATATAACCAAAAATTGGACAAAATTAAATAAATAAATTAACGAATAACGACTAAAACAAATCTAAAGGTTGGCTTACACGTTCTGTTAAACTGAAGCAAAAGGAACTGTTCGTACTTTGGTTTCCGATGCCTAAAAAAACGGTTCAATTGCACAGTTTTTAGAGTGTGTAAAAAGTTCATTCAAGCAACGGATTGCACAAAATATCATCCATTAGTATGCACAGTCTAACCAAACCTGTAAACCCCCCTTAATAGCCTATTAATTGAAAAAAAAAAACTTTATTGGTTTTGTTATGACAACATAGTTATTCAACTCAAAACGGTGAAATTTTAAAATTACAAATAACATTATTGATCAAATCTATTATTTTTTTAATCGAATAATGCTCATCTTTGTTCATAACATGTAATTTTACTCGAACCTAGTATTACAAGCACATAACGAATGCTAAGTAAAACGTACAAAAAACCCTTACTCCGATTTTAGGTTGAATTATTTTGACCAAAACCGTTACGATAATAATTGTATTATAACATACAATTTTCTTTAATCATACGAGTTCGACATTTTAATAAAATGCATGTCGGTAATTATTACTTGCTCAATCGTTATTATTACAGCCGATACACACTATACCTACTCTATAATTAAAATCGTTCATCGTGGAAGTGTATCAAAAGGTTGTATTATCCTGTCTATTGTTTAAAAATGTTTTTAAAAAAAAAATAAAGCCATACACGTTCTATTAAAGCACGTATTTTAATTCTTAAGAAATCTATTAAATATAGTATAATTCTGTAAAAATAATTTCAAACTACTAAGTATGCCTTTTTTAAATTATGATTCATCGAACACGTCTGTTGTGTAGCGATGATGAAATTAATAATAAATTCATCGTACTCGGTAACTGTTATTTTCGTTGTTAGACAATATTATTATGTTAGAAAATACAATTATTATGGTTCACCCATCATATTGTATGTTCAAGTTTTTTTTTTGTTTGCTTAAAATTCGTTGACCTGATCGAAACAACCGAACAAACGTAATTTTTAATGTCTTAATATTTTTTGACGGCATGTTCGCAAAATGCAATTGTTCGTTTCCTCAATCTAAATAATAGAAGCCAGCCATAGTATAATTTACAAATCAAAGTATCCTGGATTTCGGATCTGTCGTTGCGAATAGTATATTACAGTAAACGTGATTTATGGCGCGGTCTCGGTATTATTATTTTATTATGTGGTTCGATGCGATTTGAATTTTTTTATTTCATTTCTCTGTGACAAAACTCGAAAAAGCGATTCCTCACGCGACTACCAAGCTCTGTTGATGGTTTTTTGGCTGAAGCGGGTTGTGGATGTTTCTGGAGGGGAAAAAAGTAAAATATTATTTTCCTCTTCTATTGTTTGAGCTTTCGGAGCTTAATAGAATTTCATTTCGTTTCGGCTTTTTTGTTTTACTTCTTTTTTTTTTTCAAACTGAGGAATTACGCTACAATGCCGTGTGACTGCCTGCTTTTGTGAAATAAACAATAAAAACTGAACTCTGTATACATATATATACCGCCGCGTTGTATACTTATATATCGCAATTCATAAACATAAAAAAAAGTATACATACATATATATATATATATATATATATATGTTTTAAAGGGTTCCTTGCATGTTTTTAATAGCGTTTCTCCGACGTTTTTGTCAAGACAACACTGTACACAATTTGCATTCGGTATATACTTATACATAATATGAATATTGAGCGATGAGCACTCAAGCGGCGTTTTCGTTAGGCAATTCTAGTACATTCGCGTGGCATATACTGCGTGTTTTGCGTATTGAAAAATAATTCAATAAACAATTTATAGTCTTATAACAAATGCATTTCTAGATAAATTATTAAAGATACGTCTGTGTGAACGTCCAGCAAAAACTCGAGTTGTGTTATAAACATTTTACATTTTTTTGTTATCGTAAACAAATAATTTCATGCCGAAAAAAAAATAAAACTTTATCTGTCCAATTACACGATAATGTATTTTGTATCTAACAACCTTAAATTTCTGGTTATGTACTGGCCAGTTTTTAACGTTCTCGGTACTTGTACAGTCAAGCGAATCTCGCATTAGGGTTTCTGAAGGATCGCTTGTCACAATTTAGTCGATTTTTTTTTTTAAGGTTGAGACATTTTTTGTGTTTTCTTTTTTGTTTATTTGAACTTCGCATTATTTTTCCGGATCAGTATCGGTGAAACGTGGTGACAGCGGCGGATCTTTTCCGCCAAAATGGTACTCGAAATACATTGCGGTAAATAACGTTTTTCAATTTCATCCGCAATTCGCATAGGTAGAATTTTTTGTCTACAACTCCACCTTTAACAAGACAAACATGTAGGCAGACGTTGTCATTGTTAAAATAAAATAAAAATTATCGATCCATCCACGTATCGCCTACTCAATTTAATTTTGATGTGTCAAAAATAGAGTTTGGCAAAATTTAATTTGCCAACACGAAACAACTAAATTAAATCGAATAACGAGTATTTAATAAAATACAAAAATAATGTATAAAAATAACTACAAAATTATTTAAATAATCTATTATTTTTGCAATCAAATCATTTTTTATTTAAATAAAATATTGTTTTAATAATGTTTTGTTAATAAATTACATTCACTATATAATAGTGTCCATTAGTAATTAAAGTAATCGACAAATTTAATATAACTGATACTCATTAATACATGTATTAGTTGATACTTAAGCGCACCTCGGTTGCATTTCCATACCCTCCAATTAGTATTCGTATTAAACGCCTTTCCCTCGTACGATTTTTGAATCCAATCATTTACATGGGAGTTAAAAAAAAAATAATACTCTTGTTCTTTTTTTAAACCGATTTCATACAACTATAGAATCGTTTGTATATGGTTATTGTTATCTTCCTTTTCCTACCCCGGCGTAGATCATTATATATACTATGTTTAGACATCCTTCCACCGAACATTGTTCGCCCTTCCTAAAAAACTATTTTTTTATTTCCTCTCGTATTTTGATCTACCCCTCGTGAACACTTATCATTCGTACATCCCTCATAATTCTCAAGCGCTACTCTCTTAAAAAAATATATAATGCGCATTTTGAACATCGGGTAGGTACTCTGTACGGCGTACAAGGTTTTTTTTGCCCCTCTCGTCTCGAGTGGGTGTCATTAGCGGTAACTGTTAAAGCTACCTAAAGAATACCGTACTTAAAATTATAAATTGTTCGTGTAACATTTGACTTGGCACAACCGGTAAATAGCTCTTTTCAAGTTTTACGCGACCGTAATTAAATAAGTACGTATAATATTTGTTCAAGAGGCCCGCAGAAATTTAATAGTTTTTCATGGCGTTTTATGTTAAATGTGCGTTGTCTGTATAATTATTCAGCAGGTGGTGGATTATTACAATAGAAATATTAATATAACTATAATAATAATAATAATAATAGTGATTAAAAGTTTTAGAACCGGTGCGGTGGTGTAACGGAATCAAGCGTTTTGTGTAATACAATATAATATCCAAAAGGATATTATGGAATAATTATTGTTTAAAGAGATCTGGTAAAACAGCTTAGGCTTGTGTCCTATTTGTTTTTAATTTTGATGTTTGCCTCTTGGAACTATCGTTAAAACGAACGGATGGATGTGATTGAGTCACGAATCACACGAATGTTCTTTCAATTTATATATGTAAATTTGTGTAGCGAAATTGTTTATATTATCGCGTTAAAAATACTCATTTTCCCTATTAATAATTAAATACTTTCGTTTAATAATTTCGAAACATAACACCGTTGTTTCATTAAAATAATTAAAAATGTCTTTTAATTTAAACGCACAACACTTTCCTAAAGTCAATGGTAATCATTATAATCAGGTTGTTTGTAACGAATAACTGTGTAAAACAATTTTGCGCTAGTTAAAGCCTTTGTTAGGTGTACTCTTTTAGAAAACTTGTATTGATTATCCACCTGTAATGCTTACGTTGGTATATAATATAGCAACCATAATTTGCTTTGATACCCTTAAAAATGTACAATAAAAAAAACCTCATTATTAAATGATTAATGTTCACATTTTTAAATTTTATTATTCATTCTGATAAAAACCGTTTATTACCGTCACAGGAGTAGAAATTGGTGGTGGAATCAAATGGATGTAAGTAATTTATGTACAATTTTTGATTTTCAGTGGAAGAACTGCTGTGCTTGGCCACGTGGAAGGACGGTTCGACAAAGTATATGATTGGCAAGCTAGAACACACGCCTTCGTCGTCCGACGAAGACAAGTACCGCTGCTTTGTGGTGGGCAAATCAACTGGCGGCTCTTTCGAGATGGCTCAGTCCGGAGACGCGACTTGTAACGGCATGTCATCGCCCACTGACGGGTCGAGGACAATGAAATTCAATAGAGGTAAGCAAATCAAAATCATAAGATAAATACATCCAACCCCCTTGGCATATGTCTGTCTTATTATGCCTCTGCTTATGGTATTATAAATCGACGGTGACAACAACCGCTGCATTGAAACCCTTAAATAAAACTGTCAAACGCCATAAACTGTTTGCTGAACATATTTTTTCGGCTGAGTCGCGTTTCAAAAGAAATATACATATATATATATATATATATATATATATTATATTCTTTTTTTTCCGACTGATGTCTCTCTTTCTTTCTGTTTGGCTTCTTAAAAGCGGTAATTCCAGAAAAAAAAATTTATACTTCCATTTCCACAAAGTATTTTACACCTTTTCGGCATGCAATCGAGACATGAAAATCTCATCGAATGGTATAATATTTTTATAATAGTCTTAAAAAAAGTTCCCTGAGCCTAAGTGTAATGTTATTTTTCCGTGAGTGGCTGTACCTCCTCGGGGGTGTGTCGTTCTTATACTAATGTCTGGGAAAAAAAAGTTTTTGATTTACGACGCCCTCAAAACCGAGTGTCGCACGACTGTTAAAAAGTTTTAGCCGTGGTAACTTTTAAACCATGACTAATGCCTGGCAAATTAATTCTTTCGAAGAACAATAATAATATTAAGTCTTAGATTTAGGACGGTATGGGGTGACATCGAAAAATTGCCGGGAGAAAAAAAAACCGTCGTAACTTCGGTGTTTAAACAAAATATCGTTTATTTAAACCCTTTATCTTGTGTACGCAGTTTTTTGACGAGAAAAAAGTTTTCGTTTGAATTGACTTCGGGCTAATTAAAACTCATTGAGAAGAATTAATCCTCTCCGCAACACCACCATAGTCACCACTTGTTGCTAACCAATTTCCATTTGATCGGAATAACCCCAAATTAACAGAGTTCGTGTTTGTTTTTTGTTTTAATTACAATGATTAACTGGAATTTGTTTTATCAAGATTAGACTGGGTTTGTTTTTTTCGTAAACGCTTAATAAAAATAACCGTTACTGACTATTTGTATTATATATTATAATTATAAAACCCCAATTCGCAATTTTTAAATGATAAATATAATCATTTTATTAATTGTTAACTTTCAAATGAAATAACCCAAATAAAAAACTAACATCTGAATTCAAAAATTTTAATCATTTCCCACTCGTTACATTTTTTTATTAATAATCTACCATCATAATATCTTTTTTAATAATATTTTCGGTCAAAACATTAAAATGTAAAAAGTTGGTTTTTATTCTAAGAATATATTTTTAACGATGATGTGTTTTACGTGCTAATACAAATGCGAGGTTCTTATGGTCCTGTTTTTTTTTTTAATGAACCATTATCGTAACTCGCACTCGGCACTCGGCGTATTCTGAAAATTATTAAAATATTTCTAGTTTGTCCATGTTATCATAATAAATTATATATTATTATTTGTTATCTTTAAAATATTTTTCCTTTAATCGACCAATCAGTTTCAGATCTTTTCTTACTATTTAAATAATCTACTTAATAATTCCCATTTTGAAGGATGCCGTTGGTCAATAAATCGAATAAATCTGTTTTAAAATTGATAAAAGTGTTATCATAGTAATTAACAAACATGTAGGCATTATTATATCAGAACTATGATTGTTTTCCCGCCCTTGTGTCCCGAGGCTTTTATACTGAAACAAATATTATATTATTATTGTACCTATACTAATGAAACGCGTTCATCTATCGAAAAAATCAAATTACAATGGTTAAAACCCGAAATTAAACAAATTTTCCAATTTCGCTTTCTCTCTATCCGCCTCTCTGATCTCTCCCTTTATATTGATATTTTAAATCGCCGTTTTATAAGGGGACCTCCCCCCCCCCCACCGACGCCTATCATGCTGTACGTGTACACTGTACGTGCACGTTGGCTATAAGGGTTTGACCGAAAATAGCGCGAACTCCTCTCTCAATATAACCGTCGTCGGGGAATGTCAACACACCGGGCGGCCCGGGAGTTATTAAAAGCGTCGCCACAACACCGCTGGCCATCCCTTGAGCATTGAAAGCTCCATTCGATGCTTTGCCCTTCACGATTTCGTCGGTCTGTTCGCACCCCAGGCTGTATTTATACACGACAGATATCATAACAGTTATTGCACCGTCGTAAACGGCCAGTTGAATATAATTTTCATTTGCTTACACGCGCACGTTTACTCGAGATATTCTCAATTCATCCCAAGTGCGCAGTAGACATTTTTTTGACTCGATAATCGGTCTTTCCATAGTAATATAATATACTAGAGTATAGAAATATCATCCTCGTTGTTGTGCCAATTCGTTATTTTTACTGAATTAGTTTGGATTAGGAACCCTGTATTAAATATGCTGCCTGATGGTTATTAAAACAAGAAAAACACTAAAGATTACATAATTTTGTTGCTTATGTCTCAAAATTAAATTCATCCACTCTAATTATTATTCCTTTGCGTCCGTCGTTTGTAGTATCATTGTGTACCTACCTTAAAATTGGACAGCTAATCTAAAGCTATAATATAACAACTTACTAAAATCGTATTTCATAATGTACATTTAATACAATTATTATAATAATAAGTTTTGTTGATCGTTTAAAGTTGGAACGAAATTACTCAGAGAGAGAGAGAGAGAGAGAGCAATTGTTTTTATTATTATTTTCCGATTTTTCCTCCCATAATCTCTGACGGAAATGTCGCCATTTTTATTTCTTTTTCTTTAGAGCTACAAAAATAACCTAAAGAAATTAAAAGGTCCCTAAGAAAACATAAAAATATAACTGAATGCAATTTATTTCAATAACAGTTTTTCAGCTATACGACGGTTTTTATCCTGCCCACGTTACATTTATGCATACTAATTATATACATAAAATAACATACAATTTTGTTGAACGACGACAATCAATACTATATTGACGCATTTTGTGTTTTTTGTGGTTTTATTATTTACAGTTTTTACAAAAAAAAACACCTATAATTTGAATTTTGTAATAATAATTGACAATGAAGTAGATATGAGAAATTGAAATAACCAAATCGATATCTTATAATTTTTTCAATTTTTACAATAAACAACATTTCTCATTGTGTACTTACACCTTTGCGTACTTGACGCACGGTACCCACGGTGATACATTTCCAAACCCGTCAAACCATATTGTTGTTATGGTCGACTTTTACGACCCTGAGATTGCAACGTTTTACGAGTTTTGCTGTCGGTGAAATTTCAATTAGTTTGACGTCTATTGGTGTCTTTTAATTTTGTTATACGTCGTTTTTGTATATGTATAAAACGCGTGGATGGAAATAAACGAAAAATGACGCTGTTTAAATTTCAATAAACACCATTCTCGATCCGTTTTGTTCTTCTCCCCCCGCCGCCCAAAAAGCCAAGGGTTCTTGGGATGTATAAAAGCAGTTTCAGCATCTTTTTTTTTTTTTTTTCTCATCCGGAGTGATTCGTAATAGGAATGCGTATAGTCCTCGTTTTCCACTTGAACGTCTGGAAGGCGACAACGCGGCAGCAGAGATGAGAGAGAGAACGACAAAAAAAAAACGACGGCATTTTGTTTTTCGATTTCCATCTCCAAAACTTTGTTCTCGAGCATCTCTTCTTGTATTATGTATGATATCTCGAAATTCGCCTCATCGTACAGAATTATTTATTGGCCCGTCCGCGAATTGGCCGCGTCGAGTGTCGTTTTCGAGACAAAAGGCATTTATGTAAGTCAAGAAAACGCATAACACGTTGTTTTTTTTCAATTTTGTATATTTGTTTTACGTTTTCAAAAACGAATAGACCCGAATAATTGTATGTTTAAAACAATTTCTCGCGAAGGCACGCGGTCGCTGTACCGTGTGTTTTATATACATTATATTACATTTGTATTCCAATGATTATTTTCACTCATATTTTTATTTAAATAATATGTTATCGACATGATTATTTATTTAGACAAATTTTCATTTGAAAATAGCCATAATCTGATTGGAAAGTGCCGGAAAAAATTCGGTGTACTTAGTTTAAACTTTAACATTGTTTTGAGTATAATATCAAGCCCCTCCCCCCTCATAAATTGCTGCCAACTCTGATTGAAGTTTACGCTTGTCGCGTCAAATATTCGATTTTAAAATATCGTCAATCCGTTTTCTTGGCTTTAGTGAATGATATAAAATCGTATAAATCAGATTTTTAATAAAAACACATCGGCGGTAACATATAGCTAAATAATAAATAAAGATAAATAATAACAATGTATTAGCTACGGTGGCGATTGCGATATGAAATTATTCATTCATCGTTGTTACGGTATAATATTGTTATTATTTATTATCCGCCGTTGGTAATAAATGCATTTGTTTTGGAAAAATAAAATTCCACCTACTGATTTTATCGTTGCGTTCAATTATTATTCCATGTGCTCGCGAAACCGGGAATAATATATAATCCATTTGATCTATTATCATTTATCAACCGCTCGTATATATGCCCTATAATATATGTGCTGTATACATATAGCATTGCATTCGAGCTATCAGCTCTCGCGGTTAGGCGGGCTGTCGAATTTTAAGACTAATTACAGGTGTAATTAATAGCTAATTGAACCCTCTCGACCGCGGTTTCCGTTATGCTGTAGTCCCTCGACACACGTAACAGCGATACCGCGACCACTCCGTATTATTACGGTGTACTATCCTAAACGATTTACCACATCATTGTCATCGTGGGTATGTTAATAAGTTTGTGATTGTCAACATACGGTTCTGCTGTCGTTGGGTATTGATTTTCCGGCATCGTCTAATCATTGTTGGCTTCCGGCTTGGGAGGACGCGTGTAACCTCCCCCTGTCCGTTTTCCGGTATTCCTTGTGGAGTGAAAATATATCGTTTTTGGCCTAGGTCCAAACTTCCTATATAACGTCGTCGGTTAACGGTGGTGGTGGTGGTGGTGGTGATGGTAGCGCGTGTCCCTGGGGCGG